GTCTGTTAAAATATAACTAACACTTAACAAAAACTTACCGGCAAAACTCAAATCACTGACCTTGGGTCTCATCACTCTCACAGCCTCAACTCCTTCGAACATTTATCCACTAGGCTTCACTATTCGCAATCTCTTTCGAAATGAATATAGGATTCTTCGTCACTAAATAAGTTTAAGATCTACCGCTGAATACTGCTCGTTCTTATTTTCTAACTTACGTCTATCCGATATATTGCAGGTGGAAGGAATATAACTGAATTTCACTAGTTGGATGCTTTAAACGGATTCACTGATTGACTGTCACTCCCGTAGTCATATCTTACGTCATGATCTCAACTGGAAAGAAAAGCCTAGATCCTATTTGACTCACCAGTATGTAATAATATATATTCTCAGATGACAGCATATTACATGAGGCATTTCACTTTGCAGGCAAAACCGGCGAGACTATAATTTATAGACGACCTTTGAGGGACGCCGAAATGACCCTGAGGGTGGACACCTACTGACTAGGAATAAATGAGGGTTATAAAGCAGTTATAATCCGCACTCACAGTTGAAGGTTAGGGTAAAAAAAATTTGATTTAGAGTTTTCACTATGAACTGACATCAGCTATAATGATAGAACTCTATTCAACCAAATGTATGGATGAATTTCGCGCCGAAATTTGTGACTTGTTGTCTTATACCTGATTGGTTCGTCCACAAATTGTAGTCTCGCACACAATGATTATATAAACAGGGGATCAATTTTTGCATACTAGAATAACTGTTAGTAAGACTCCAATGTTCAATATAAGAGTTGGCGCGCTTAGCAGAATCTGCGACGCGACATGCAATTGATGCCCGATAATGAACTGAATTAAGGTCCTGGGCAGTCATTCGAAGATGACGATTCCATCGTATTACTTTGTGCTTTTTGCTAGTGATAACAGATATATTCTGGGGGTATTAGCGATGGGGAAAGACGAAGTCATTTGTTCCGCAGATGTTTTCGGTGGCAGACCATGAGGGTGCTAAAATGGTAGGGAAAAAAAGAAAAGAAGAGAAACAGGACAAACAGTGTTCATGACTAATTAAGTTTAGTCACTTATGATGGAACTATTAAAGCATGACTATTAAGAATATAATATATAGACAAATCAATTAGATTTAGCATGACAGGTATTGGATTTTGGCGTGAAATTCACTCACATATTTGTCTAAGTGGCATTTTGGCATTTCAACTGATGTAAGTTCGTGATGAAAACCATAAATGTAATTCCAAACCCGAACCATCGACTGTAAATCATAATCTTTATTCCTCAAACTGCCTTATAACATCCATTTAGCCCTAGTAAGTAGATGGGAATTCCCAAAGTAAATAAAGCATCGCTAAAAAGGTCGTCCATTAATTATGGCCTCATTCTCATTCTTTTTTACTAGGTCAGTTTCCAGGCATATATATTACATCGGATTAATAAAAACAAGCTAAAGTATGACACTGAATGAATAAAGAATTGTACAAATAAAGGTGATTTAAATGAGCTGAAAGTTTAAGATTTTACGTTTTTAAAGGTTAGTAAAAAAACAGCGTTCGAAAACCAAATAGCTGTTTTTCGTCAAAATCTATAAAACACATTTTTTATCCTTATAACTTTCACGAGTGAACTCATATTTAGCGTAATTGTCCCGTCTTATTCGCAATAGGATTTCTCAGTAGGAAGTGAAACAAATTCAGGGTCACAGACATGAATCAAACAGGTGCTTGGCATAAGAAATTGGCGTTTGGATTGAGGTTATCTCTCAGCCATCATGTTCGCTGGTCAGTAACGCCACCTTTCCCTCCTTTGTGGTGCTAGTCTGTCTTAAATTTGTGGTATGTATGAATGCTGCTTTAATGTAAGCTCCGTGTTGCACACATTCTTGGAATTCATCCATTCTATTGATTCCATGTCACAAGCAAATCAAGCTAAAGGTTTTATATCGTGGGTTGGACATCCGGTTAGTATATCACACTGCTATGATGTTAAACAACTGTACGAGTCCCAAGATACTGGTCAGATAATATGTGCTCTAGGAATGTTAAGGACGGGTAGCTGATCAAAGGACATAAATGAATAGTATAAGGCTGCGAAATGTATGAGTAAGATGGTAAGTAAGAAAACGAAATATTTGGATGACAGTAATTATTTTTAAAGGGACATAAATTTGAATTAAAGGGAATCCACAATTATTTAGGATATTCTGAGCATCCTATGATCGTCGAACAGTACTCATAGGGTTGGTGAGTTATCTGTCTGCGAACTAGGGAGAAAAAAGTTGTTTTGTTCAATATTCGTGCAAACGAGGTTTGAGGGTGATTATTCATGGTTAGTCAATGATCCTCGACTAAGAGATATGGTAGTCGTTGAAGGGGATAAGAATATTTGACTGGGTTGTGGTACAACATATTTCAAAAGTACAATGCATGCGACACCATCAATCGTTTTGTGGATGAAAAGAGAAACACGAGAAACATGATTATTTAATAGTTATAAAAAGGGAATACGAGGTATATAACAACAACGTGTAAAATGTGAAATCTCAAAGGTTATTTGACAAATGACCATAAATGGTTTGTGACGTAGTTGTTACGTCCCAATAAGAACAACGAATGGTAACTTTTTGGATCCATTTATAGATCAATACTATACGTTTATTTTTATCGTATAATTTTTAATAACTAAACTGTTCATGTCCATGTCCATCTTATTGTGAGCTTAATTTTGACCTGTGAACTATTATTGTACAATTTACCATTCTTGAGTTATGGCCCGTCTATTAATTACTACCTCCAGTCACAGTCACATTTGGCTAATTCTTGTACAAATGTTGTTTCATATTTTATGGTACGTTGTGGTCTGTCTGGTTGGCATACAAACCCAGTATGCCTGAAATGAATGATTCATACCGCAGAGGCTGAGGTTGGTGTCCTGGACTTAACAGGCTGAGCTAGGCAGTAAGCAGGACCAATTAGGACACTAGACTGCTCTCATGGGTTTCATGAGTCACTGGTCCGATCGATAACCCACTGCTATCTGATTGGCGGTATCGTTACGTTATACAACAAACAGGACACACAGGTCACAAGTTATAATAGTAGCCACTAGGTGCCAGTTGATTATTCATTCACAAGGTTAAATGTAGGACAGCTCATATTTAAATGTAGCTTGGCTTAGGCAAGCCCCATAGAGCATGCTAGAAACTCCATATTGGTCCACAAGGCAGCCTAGAGAAGATTTAAACTGAGTTAGCATTTCATCTGACATTTACCGGTAACCAATTCCGGAGCCTTGTGCACAAAATCCTGATCCCATAGTTCAAAATTAGTTTTTGATTGATGTCAAAATCACAGCTTTTGGTAAACCTGAAGTAGCGTAGTTTTATTATATAGAATTCAGTATAGTAGGGTAAAATTAAGTTTAATTTGTCTTAGCCATCACCGACCCAAGTTCCACTCTTCACACCCATCTTCATATGATGTATCAGGCGTAAGAATTCTTGGTAAATGATGTTGCTTTTTCTCAACTTTCTGTCGGTCTAAGGAACGCATGCAACTAAATATAAATGTTCAGTATTCCAGAAGGGGCCACACACACTTCGTAGTTATTTTGGATTTCTAATTTAGGCTCGTCAAAAATCTTGCTGTACTTGCAATATATTCATTAATCAAGTCCCATATATATACTACCCTAGAGGTAAAGTATGCATGGTCCAAATTGAACTAAACAACAACTGGACAAAACTTCTTCTTTTTCAAGTGTACACTAAAATGGGACTGTCTTCTCTTCAAGATATGCGTGCCATATGGACTAGATATGTTTGCCAGAATTCTTGATGAAGCCCTCGCTTGCAGTGGTCTAGCACTCGCAAACACATCTGCATCCTACTCAGATATCAGAGGCGCCCCATAAATCTAAATCACGTTAAACTGAGTCTCGCTTCCCGTTGTTTTCTACTTTGAAGTCCATGATTTGCAATCTGTCTGATAAACTTGTAAAAATATCATTTATAGTATTAGTGTTTTCCAGGAAAGCTTGAAACACAGAGCATCGAGTAAGACAAAATATTGCGTCTAGATGTAACCTCGAAACGACCTAACATCACAAAAAGAGGAAAAGAAGTTACTGACCAATAAACATTGATGGTTAGGGCGATGGATTTAATTTACCCATGTTTGTGAGGCAGAACATTCTGTCAGTTTCGGCTCTCTGTGACTGAGGAAGAGGCGATCAATCTTTTGAGTTGGTACTCCTATGCTCGCTACTCAGAGTCATGTTTCCAGTGTTATTCTGGATTCGTCGTTTTACCATAAATTGCTAACGAAGGCTTTTGCATAATGATCTGGTGACTGGCACCAGATGAAAAAGTGAGAATAATAAAAATTGTTGAGTGATAAAAGATGCAGCTATTAGCGTTTCTTTACAGTTTACTTTCCTTCATTGTACTCATCGAACATTACTGACACATAAATCTAGTTGCAAACATGTGCGAAAATATACTGCAATTTATTTTCATTGTATTATTCGATTTTACAACCCTACTTAGTAAGCATCTTATCTGTAAACCAGTGTTGAAAATTATTAGTCATGACTATAGAAACTGCTTATACATCCTCCGTGCACCAAAATTCAAATAGATTTTACCACCTACAAACAGGACTTTAGTTGATGTTTACCCTGTTCGAATAAGTTCTGTATTGAATAACGAAAAGCAGGTAAACTTTACAAGGAATATATCGGCCTTCGTAAACACAAGAACTAACTGAAGGCATTTTGTATTTTGGATGGTCCATAACTTTGCAAACGGAATAAAAAAAATTCATAGTTTCTGGTACTAATAAAAAATATTCCACAATCACCCATTATTATCCCACTTATACTTAAGGAGGTACTTAATCATTGATTGTTTGCATAAAAATGCAATAAGATTTCTTAAAATCTCGACTACAACTTTAATATGAGGTATTGAACACTGTACAAAGTTTTAGTTATTTTTCAGCGAAAACTATGACCTACGAATATAAAGTAGCTAATTAGATATTGTTGTCCAATGAACACTTCTTATAATTATTATGGTAGCCAATACAACAATTACTACGCATCAGAGTAAATCAAAATCTAATAGTTATTTATTTTTAAAGAAACAGAATTCCCTCTGATGTGAAAGCTCATGCGTGTTTAATGATCTTAGCATGGGGTTTCTGTAACCCAAATGCAATAATCATTTCGAGACACTTCAAGAAAGGTTGGCCAGGTCGGACAATAAATAACTTCGCTTACTGGTTTCAGTTTCACATTATTCTGCAGTCATTCACCCTTGCGTTCGTTTTATTGGCACTAATGATTATTGTTGTACATGTTATGGGCTACTCAAATTTAAATGATCTGCCCTTCAGCGCTCACCCAGCTTGTGGATTTGCAATCGTTGTGCTTACTTTCTCAAATGTAGGTGGAAATAGTACTAATAGAGGGTTCAGCCTATTGTTGCATGGTTTCTCTGCACGACAAGTGGTCGTCAGAGAGCTATTACGAAATATGTTCATCAGGTGGCTGGAATTTTGTCCCAGATGCTTGCAGTCCCGACGGCCTTAATCGGATTACAGATGCCTGCTTTGGGATATGGTGTTTGTTCATCAAAAATATATTCGACACTTTTTGCTATTACTGTTGTTCTTAACGTCATCGTTGAAATAACTCTTGAAGTTATTGGATACAAAATCGGAAAAAATGTCAAAAGTAAATGTGAAGACCCTGATTTTATTTATTATCACGTTTATATTAGTTGTGCGGTCAATCCTAAGCATTCAAGCTGATGAAGCTGACAAACTGCTGGCTCGAATTGAAGAAGTGAGTTAAACTAAGGAGAGATTTTCCATTTGAAATAGTTTTGCGTATTTTCGTCTGAATCATTATTACCTTTCTCAGATAAAACCCATTGGCATGATAAATCAGAAAATTAGTACGTTGTTCTACATCTCAGCTGTCTAGAAAATATAAGTCTAAACTCCTTTAAACATGATGAGGGAGGAGCAATTGTATTATCTATTTAATGGAACGTTTAAAAATCGATGAAAACAGAGTGTGAAATATCGCGAGTAATTAAAGTAAAAATTAGTGGTGATATTTTGTGTTTCAATTATGCTTTCTGACCAAATATCTGCAATAATTGTTTAACCATGTATTTAATGGTACCGTTAATTATACCATATTTACGGCTGTGAACGGTTGAAATTTATTGATTTATACTTTACAGCATTTTGATATATTTGCCAGTCGATTTGGAAAACGGCAATTTCAGTCACCAAACCATGAGTTGGCCCCCATGATATACCCCTTTAAAATTGCTACTGTTAGTTGTACCTGAAATAAGATTGAGTGAGTTACGCAAATTCCTAGCATTTTGACGAAACTTTCGGAGCTTCAATTAACTGTATGTCCTTGTAGCAGTGACAGAAATGTCGGCCCTCATTTTCATTAAGAAAATTTCTGAATCCATATGTGTTTAGAATTCTGTCAATAGTTTTATACAATCTAATGTGGACCTTCATTAGCTTTGTTTTAGTAAGTAGTTTGCTTTTATCACTGCTGCCGATTTTATCTGATCATACATTTCTATATAGAATGAGAATAGAAACATTTGCAAGGGTAAAATCCAATTTTATCCTTTTTGTAAATTATTGCGGTTCGAACGGATGTGATCATTGAAAGTTGAGGTCATTGTGTCTCTAGGACAGCTATGTATAATAAAACGTGACATGAAGGATGTAAGCAAGTACAATAAACAATGTAAGAATAAGGAGCAATACTACAAAAGATATCACCTTTAATAAATTATCGTTACGAATATTTCAAGAGTCTTAGCATTTTAGTTAAAGCTCTTGCCATTATAAGGGGAGTTGTCATCAGGAGCATATTTTCATAAAACTTTGATATAAGAGGTACTTCTGAAATAACTTGAAAATCCTCATATTATCTCCCTTTTCAAAAAAAATAATATGAAGTGAATGAAAACATCATGTAAAATCACAAAAATTCCGTAACTGGACCAATAATTCTGTCAATCCCAGTAAAAGTCTTATTTTAACGGTAACGAAGTGTTCGCACTTATTAGATTAGTTTTTAATACACTTAACTCGATATGATAAATACAGGAAAATATCTTTTAAGATCAGCATATTTTATTTTGCGATACAATAAGTGAGTAAATTAATAGTTAGTTCTCAGAAAACATTGTTATCAGAGTTTGCTACTATTTCATCAAGTTACTTTTCAAAGTTTATAAAATTCAGTAATACTTTTTGATGTTTTTTGTACTGTAACTAAATACAATTCCGTGTTTTATAGTACATCAGTTTTTGACTATTGTATTCGCAAATCACGCTCCTCACTTCCTTTCTTGAGTAAAATATCAGGACTGTTTGAGGACTAATTACAGTCTCGTAACCTTGGTATGCACAGAGATACGGTAGTAGTAACACTGAATTAATAAAGTTATACAAATATCAAACAGAAGTCACATGCTGTATCGTACCACAGAGAGACGTTACTATTTGTTGACTTCTTGAAAAGCCATCAACACTTCTCCCCCTGTTTGCCGTTAACTAGCCTACTACTTGAGTACCGTTCTTATCACTAACAAATACACTATAAGGAGGACCTTCTTTTTAGTTAGATCGGTTACGTATCAACTGGAAGTAAGTATAAGCCCATAGCATATCAATCTACAAGTTTATTTGTTTAACTAAGATAAAGTTTAGTCCAAGGCTCCAAAATAATTATTTTTAGAAGTGTCTAAAGTACCACTTGGAGTATAAGTTCAAAAACAGATTTTAAAACTGTGATTAAATTGAAAATGTTTTGCTTTAGAAAATCCAATGGTATCTACTTTTATTCCGGTGTTTTCATATCTGATCATTAAAATATAAACGTTAACAAAATTACCTCATATACCACTTTTTTTAAAAAACAATACGACTTTATTTTCCGTTGAAACACTTTTTTGCCCTTCAGAATCTAAGCAGGTAGGTTAAAAAAGTTCTTAATAAGTAGCTCTTGCTTTGGATTAACTCAGGAGTGTAGTTGAAGAGTATTAGCTTTCAGATTACACTAAGTACAAAAGACTGTATCTTCTATCTTGAAAAACTACGTTTTTTATGTAATTAAGCTATTTTGATCTCAACGTGCTATCAAAACTGTAAAACACCTTACTATAATAACCAAATCGTTTTCAAGAAAATGATATGATACGCATTAAACTTTAGGCATTATTATATCATAAAAAGATTTTAAATATTTTTAGCACTAGGAAACATTTGATGGTTAGTGAAGTCTACCATCCTGTAAGCTGTTTTAATTTGCAATAGTGTGCTATAAAGTGTGATGTTACGTCCACTCTGTGTTCTAGGATCTAGATCGTGTTGCGTTTATCTGTGCTATAATATACGTTAAAATTGGTTGCATCATTGTATTTTTCAAACATAGCATCAGTCGGTGTTTATTACTTTCAAGTTTTTGATGAACAGCTCTGTTAAATACAACTGTTTTACTAATGCGCACCGAAAAATGAAGATGAGTTAGTCTGATTTTGAAGAATTTTAGCGAAAAGTAATGAATATGTCTCAAGCATGTAACTCAGGTTCTAAGATTTTATCAGAATGCAGAACAGTTTTATCAAAATGTGCTTTATATTTGAAATATTAGCAATAAAATTAACTATATTTGGATGTTTGTTTTATTTATCGGACGGTGTTACTCCATATAAGATGGGAACTGAATTAATTACAATTAAATAATCATCAATTAAGATTATATTAAATGCTCAACCAACAAATGTAGCCTCAAATCAGTAAATTTATTATTGTAAAAATTGAATATTTAGTCTTTCAAATTTATCAAACTGTAAATCTTGCACTATTATTGTATAAGTCTGAAACAAACATCAGGCAATAAGTTTTTGCTTCTTAGCTTACGAAGATTAAAGAAACCCGTTTGTTTCAAAGTATAATAGTGAGTACACAAGATATTTGAGTTTCTGGATTATCTTCACAGATTCTCATTTGCAGGCTCTATTTATCAATACGTCTTCAGGTAACTGCACACATTTTGGCCAGTCCTTATGAAATTAGATAAAGATTGGTTGATGTTTCGCAAAACTTTATTTGTATCATAAAAATGAATATTTGCAACCAGATGAAAAAAATTACGAGCTTGTATGTATTTTATATACAAAACATTTGCAGCGGCTTGACAGAGTAAATTACTAATATGTTAATTTGTGGTTCATTTAATAACTAAGGTGTTTACACTTTTTAAAGCTACTTAGCACACTTATTTTTTCAGTCACTTTGAAGGCTTCTTCGATTTTCCCTTAGAAAAGAATGCGGCTTTTTAATAATTAAAATAATCGTATCAAGATTTAAGTGTTAGTGATTAAAATTCAAAAAGATCCTAGCGTTCACTATCGTTTCCTCAAAGGAAAAGCTAAAAGCGTTTTTCTACACCGCTTTGCATTATTCGTTCTCACACTGCAGCCTATATTGGAATATTCAATTTTACCGACTATTATTATCACTCTCAATAAATTATTGTCTATCCTTTTACGAGATTGGACTACAAGTTTCTTTCAGCCGATATAGCTTTTAGAAAAAAGAATATTAGACTGTGGAGTTTTCCCATTAAAGCACTTTCCAGAATACTGTGTCACTGCCTGTTTTTTATCGAGTAGGAACAATTTTTGTCCTCAATATACGATTTTAGTCCATTCATTTAGTTACTGTAGACACAGGAACTCCACTTGGATTTTAGAACATATAAGTATCTTTATGTAAGTAAATGAGATAAAGATATATTTCAGAAGCTTGTTCACAATTTTAGACTAGCTTATCATATAGTATCAACCAATATATGTGTCAAGTAACTTCGTAGGTTACATTATTTACAAGATCGTCTACTTAAAGTCATTTATAAGCCCTACTATGTTAAATAAATAAACAAACAAGTAGTACAATAACTATTCATACACAAACCACCATCTAAAGGCATGGTTTTCTAAAAGTAATTTCTAAATGTTAGATCATATATATGAACATGAGACTGCCCATCGAATTAAAGTGACATGGAACCTTTTTTTCTTGAGAACTCTGAAATAACAAAAATATGAAAGTTTTAAATCAAAAATCACAAGTGAGTGATACCATTCATCTTACAATTAATCCTGCAAGATTTTGAGATAAATGTTGAGATGTCTGGTAGACGGATGTAAAGTAAAGAACAACTAGAAATTTTATAAGACGAAGAACTGGATAATGAAACTTTCCCAGAGCGACTTTTAAATATTCTGAGCCATCATTTATCTAAGGTAATACGAGATTCTTATTATTTAGTATATTTCTAATGTTATCACGGAGTAGTAAGACAGGTAAACTTGCGAAATTAACTGCTATAAGCATTTCTGTATGATTATCACTATGAAACACTATAAGGCGTTTGCTGAGCAATTTATTGTTTATTTTCAGGATCCGAAACATGGAGCTACATTTTTAGAACACTATAGGATAGAACTTGTAAGTTGTCGCAAAATTTTCTGATATCTATTTGATTTATCTCAGAGATAATAAATTTCGTGAAGCATACATAACAATTTGCAAATACTGAGCACCTTCATTTTGTAGTTTGGCTGTTTAATTGCGTTTGTTTGCTGTAATAAGTGTGCGTTCAGAACAAAATGGTACCTTTTATTGGCTTTTCAGTAAATTCATGCACGGTTTTCTGTAGCACATTTTCAAGCACTAAGTAATTTTATAACTGAAATTTTCTGCAACAATCAAGACCTATCGATATTAGTACACTTCGATCATTCCACATAAGTAAGTTCACCTATCTGTAGGAACGGTAAACTTGTATAAGAACAGCGAAACTTCTATCACCTTGTAATATAACAATAGTTTTGTTAAACAATTGTATTATATTCAAGAAGCGAAATTATTTCTTGATATCACGTTTTTAAAGATGAGGAAAATGCTTTTAGTCTGTGTATTAGCATCTGAAGGAAGGCTTTGAAAGTGTATCAATTAAGTACTGGATCAAACTGCTTATTTTCCGCAAACTTTGCTTCTAGATTACAAACTAGCAACCAAAGATTTCGTTGTCTATAAATTATTTCACATTACAGTTTAAATTATGTTTCCAAAATTGTTATAGCAATGATAAATGTTGTAGTTAACCGGCAAGACTCACTATTCTACCTATGTCTTGGACTTAACGGAGTTGGAATAATGCAAGCATTTTGGGGATGCTAAATTCTCAAGTTCAATACTTATGAAGAAATTAACTTCAAAATTCACATATTGGCTTTTAAGTGGATTCTATTCATCGACTTTTTGTTCATTTCCGTTTTCATTGAATCATATATGAAGGAAATTTATTGATCTTCAGCGTATTTCAATGCGTCAATAATTTTCACTGTTATTGCACATCCAAGTGTTGGCTGCTCTCCTAATACATCCTTTTATCAATAATCACTGAAACTAATTGATGCAGGTTGGGTAGAAATGGATGTAAATTAATCTTCTTTGTTCTTCTCCAACATTTTATTCACAAGATTTGGAGTGATTTTAGCTAGAAGAGAAGAAAATGATTGTATGTAGTATCGAATTTGTCGTTAGAGTTATCGTTGTAGTCTCGCGAATGTATCGTAGCTAATGATGGTTCTGAAAGCTCATGAAAAATAGATTAATGACATTTTAAAATTGCTCATTACCAACGTAAATTCATGTAACTTTGCGTTACCGCTATAACACCGATTCATTTTCAATGCTGTACAATCGCAAATATATATACGTATTTTTCAGGATGATAATGATAATAATAATAATAATAAACTTCTGCTAGACATGGTAACAGTGAGGTAGAATAGACAAAGTATTAAAATTTTTTTTAAACAGGGAAACTAATAATAGTTTGATTGTTATGGACTTAAATATTCATCATAAAGATAGGTAGGGAAATTATGATTGGGAAAGGATGGCTCAGCACGATAAGATGAAATGCTGAAATTGAGATGGAACGTAATCAGGAGGAGCATAGAAACATAAATAAATCAGTTGTATTTCCGTTTTATTTCCAGTTACTTAAATGATAAAGGGATTAATATCTAAATACCGGAAGCATATTTGAAAGAACTACTACGTTGCAATTGCAATGCACAGTTTACATTCAACAACGTAATTTATTCGCAAAAGGGTGGCATAGCAATAGATCCCCTCTTGGTACATTACTAGCAGATTGCTTCATGGCCAGTCTAGAAAACATTTGACTTAAAACGATCACCGAAAAATTTCACTTGTATAAAAGGTACGTAGATGATATTTTTATCATTTGTGAAAACAAATATTATTTGAGTCATCTTCTGAAAACATTTAATAACTGTCACCCAGCGATAAATTTCACACTTGGAGTTGAAAACAAACTAAATGTTCACTTTCTTGATGTGGAAATGAAAAGGAAACAAGATGGAACTCTAAACAGATCTACTTATAAGAGACCCAAGTTTCTACAGTTGTATCCCCATTAGTCGAAAACGAAACCTCATAATATCACTCGTTACGGGAATACAAAGTATTTGTAGTCCTGAGGTCTTAGATGAAGAACTGGGCCTCTTGAAGGAAATACTTGTCAAAAACCGGTATCGTTTGATATTCATTGACAAGAACATGAAACTGAAACCGCCTAAAACACAAGTAACTTCAGTTGAAAAGGAAACATTATACGTGAACATCGACTTTAAGGGTGATAGAGCTGCAAATGTCTTAAAGAGGAGAATCTCTGGTTCGTTAAAGAGAACGTTATTCGCATCAATGTTACGGATAATATTCTCCAGCCAATCACCGTTCATCAATAATCTTAAGGACAAATTATCTCATCTGACCAACTCAATGTGCACTTACCAATTTACTCACCAATGTGGAGCCAGGTCGTTCGATGCGTAATTTATCCAAAAGAATTCAAGAACATTACTCAGTGTGGCTAAAATGAGGTTGAAACGGCCCAATCGAGCACCTTGTGAACACAGGTCACTCAATCAAGACGAACTCTGCGTTCAAAGCCATCTACAAGGTAAGTAGAAATCTTCCGACGGCAGTTATATTGCATCTTCCTAACTTTGCCGAATCAATAGCCATACATCTGTGCAAACTAGAATTGTGTTTCCAAAAGAAATCGGTACAACCTCTTCCTCGAACATGGTCTTAATGTCTCATTTTTCTCTCTTCATACTTTCCTTTCTTTACAACCATCTGCTTCCCCTTCCATTTTCTCCTTAAACCTTCTACCTCCCTATCGATTTATTTCTGTTTCTATGCTCCTCCTGATTACGTTCCATCTCAATTTCAGCATTTCATCTTATCGTGCTGAGCCATCCTTTCCCAATCATAATTTCCCTACCTATCTTTATGATGAATATTTAAGTCCATAACAATCAAACTATTATTAGTTTCCCTGTTTAAAAAAATTTTTAATAACTTTGTCTATTCTACCTCACTGTTACCATGTCTAGCAGAAGTTTATTATTATTATTATTATTATTATCATTATCATCCTGAAAAATACGTATATATATTTGCGGTTGTACAACTTGGAAAATGAATTCACCGAAAGGGGAAGCCTCCTCTGAACCAATCTTTCTTATTCAATGTTTTAATGCGTGTATTTCGTTTAATAAATCTGATTGACAGAATTCGTTTACTACTGAGTAGACGGGAGGATATCGGTAAATTTAGAATTTCTAACTGGACTATTTCAGCAGAAACAAATATTTAAAAAAGGTTCAAAGGATAAATAATTTGGTTTAGTATAAAAAGAGCCACATTCACCAATTATTCCTATTATGTCATATAAATTACATTACCACAACTGTTTTTTTCTCCCTGGTTACATAACTGTCATCTAACGGGTTATAATTATTTTTTCCTAGAATCAAAGGTCCAAAAGAGGTGTACCAAAAGAAATTACCAAAAACCATACAGTAAGTTCATTTTATTTAGTCAAACGTAATAGTGTTGCAGGTTGATCGGATTATATTTGAAAAGTCAAGCTTATCCTACATGTAACTCAATGACGGCTAATTATTTTCTAAGCATATGATCAGAAGAGTAGAAGGTACCGTTTAATTAATATGAACATGCCAATCAAGTTATAAAAAACTACTTATAAGAGGAATCCATTTCATATATATATGATAAATTATAAGCTAACGATTAATTGTACTAGTATATGGAGAATTGTAGAGACTAAGGATCTCTCATAGTTTAAATCATGAATTATTCTCAGCTAAACCATATTTAAGAACCCAGGATGATTGAACAGTTGTTTCGTCGTAATAAGAGATTCCTCAGAAGTGTGCACCCCTGATGACTCTGTATCTTGGAAGCAAAATCATGATCTTTGATCTATGGCACGAACCCTTAAACTATAAACCACTGAGCCAACATCCAACTGTGTATGTGTCTTGCCTCAGCCATTTAATGATACTGCACAATCCTCATCCATTTCCCGCTGTGGATAACTGTCTCACATCTGAAATGATTGAAATACACTAGTCAAAGCTTTCACCAGAACTCCAGGAGCAACCGAAAGCCCTGGGCTTGGTTCGTTGATGCATACCACTGAGGAGTCTCATACTAAAACGAAAAGATTGTCTGGTGCTTCCATATTATTAACGGTGATCTCGCTTAAATCAGTTCATGACTTAAACTCAGAGAATTATTGTATGTTTGTTGGAATTTGAAGTTATATGAAGTTGGACTACATAATTTTTAGGTAATAATAACTAGTCAAATTTTAACAAACAATTATGAGTTAACCTATGTTGCCTCATATATATATGATCGTATAATGTTAAAAATGGACTCCATGGCAATAATCACTTCACTTTATAAAAGGAGATCTAATGACCTATGGGGCATTATATTACCTTCGATGACTCACATGGCCTATGATCCTCCAGGAGGGCTAACAGGCGATGATTCACAGCTTGTAATTATGTAAACTCCACGTCAGTTGTCTTGGTTAAATCCTTATAGAGTAGCTGTAGTTCGTGGATAATTTATTTCACCAACACTAACCAACGTAGGCTTGACAATTTACCGTTAGCATCCATATACAGTGTAAAACTACTATCTCTGAGGGTTGTATTTCAGAACTCTGCTTTCCATTCATCCAACATTTGAACATGGTTTTGGATTATTAGTAGTGACAATGATCAATATGCTGCCACCTTTAAGTACCTGTGTCATTCAAATGAGCTGTATACAATTAATGTTGTGAAATAGATTTCATGTATTCCGCATGCATAATAGCATTATAACTAGTAAACGAGTATCTTTTTTTCTCATAAATGGATGATTATGACAATATTTAATTAACATATTTGTAACTTTTCAAAAAAATTATCTTAATCATAAATTATTCAGTTGATGTACTGTAGAAAATACTACAGTTAGGAATCAGGCTTTTCAAAGAAATCTCTATTTCAACGGTATTCTTCACTATCTAATTATTTACACACATCTTATTACGTAGTGATTTTAATGTTTTGTGATTACTATTCCTAGTCTATTTACCCACGTTTGTTTGACCTTCTATTTCCAACGATTAACTATTGATAAGAGTTTTGTTATTCTCACTATTATCAGTTCACCTGTCTTCCTACTATCAACTTGTACTTTTACCTATTATGTGTAGTGACATTCTATTTCATTGTGATTATTGACCCATATTGCCTTGATTGGTTTAAAAATTTTCGTATAAATATTCATGTATATTAGGGTAAAGCCTGATGACGATCTAATTGAAAACAATTGTTCGTTTATATGTGTTGTTCAACGGTTTATCTTGAAAATTCATATGGACTCATCTCTTTGAAATATATTTGTTCATCAGCATAAGACATATTAGATACGCCTTATATTTTACTGTCAGTCAGTCAAACACCACTTAGAAGCTCGTACATACTTTAATATAATAAGCCAAGTCGTAAAAACTGCTACGCATGGATTGAATAAAACTTACGACTGTTAACCCTAGTGGAGGAGCATGGGCCGCTCACCAGCTTTCTCCATCAAACTCTGTTCTGGGCAATCCTCTCCAGCTGTTTCCAACTGCTATTCATTCTTTTGATGCCTAGATTAAATTCCCGACGCGATGTGTTCTTTGGTCCTCCTCGTTTCCTTTCGTCTTCAGGACTCCAAGTCAGGGCTTGCCTCGAGATGCAGTCTGATGACTTCCGCAAAGTATGTCCTACCCACCTCCAGTGTCTCTTTCTGATTTCCTCTTCATCTGGAAGTCAGTTTGTTCTCTACCACAGTAGGTTTTTGCTGATGGTAACCGGCCAGTGTATATGGAGCATCTTGCGTAGAAAACTGTTTGTAAATCCTTGTACCATCTTGATGATGGTTGTGTAGTTCTCGAAGTTTCAGCCCCGTACAGTAGAACTGTCCAGATGCTAGTATTAAAGATCCTGATTTTGATATTGGTTGACAGTTGTTTTGAGTTCCATATGTTCTTCAACTGTAGGAGTGCTACCCTTACTTTACTAATCCGTGCCTTTACATCTGCATCAGATCCTCCTTGTTCATCGATGGTACTTACTAGGTACGTGAAAGTCTTCACCGTCATGTGTGATTGGGTTGGTTTGTATTCTCTGTGTTGTATTTAAGGATCTTGTTTTTTCCCTTGTGTGTGTTGAGACGTACTGATACATAGGCTGCTGCTACACTAATTATCTTCATCTGCATTTGTTGATATGTATGGGATAGAAGAGCTAGGTCATCTGAGAAGTCCAAATCGTCTAACTGTCCATTGTATTCCGTGCCTCCTCTGAAATGTGAAGACCCTCATAATCTAGTCAACAACTAGAAGAAAGAGGAAGGAGGAGAGCAAGTAGTCTTATCTGACTGCGGTCCTCACTTAGAATGCATCTGTCAGCTGTCCTACATGTATGGCTTTGCGTTGTAGTCCGTCGTATGAATTCTGAATGATGATGACGGTTTTCTCAGCTACGCTAACCAGAAAAAACCAATCAAATCAAACCCAGAAGTTAATTAGTATTTTAAAATACATAATGAGCGTTATATAATCCAATTTATTGTTCAGAATTTATACATAAAACATGATTTCATAAATGAATCTGTTATTTCAGTCTTTACCCTCATTCCATACTTTTCGAACGAACTGGTTTTTGTCAAAAAGAACTTTTATTGGTTTCTTATATGAAAGCGATTTTACTTCTGATGACAAAAATATTCATCTGTTGACATGACTTTTTACCACCGCTAGTAGTGAGTTTCAACCTAATATATAATATTGTGTTAGGAACTGCTATGATCGTCTTATGAATAGCAATTAAACACTAACGTGAGCCTTTAATAGTAGAAAACGTAGTATCATATGTTAACGTATGTTTTGTGCAATCAGTAATCTTAACATTGCCAGAAGATAAGTGGATTCTTTAAGTTGAAATCTTACGTTCTCACTTTAGAAATCAAACATTTATTGTTATTTCAAGTAGCACATAGTAGTATTACATGAACACTGCTAGTAGACTGTATAAATTGTTTTGTAATTCGTTATATTGAATGGTAACTTATCTGACGTCAAAATCACTCGTCCTGTAAATTTTGTAAGCAACATTATAGGCTGGTTAATCCCTGTACATATCATTGAATCGTGTATTATTTTGATTATGCTCTAGATATTTCTCTACTTTTAAAATGTTTGTGTTTACAAAATGCATGTCAGGTAAAACATTTATTGTAGGTAAAATAAAATTGCTCCGAAATTTATCTTGTTCTTTTCATTTGTAGTTATGGGTAATCAAATACTTTCTTCTTGCTGTGCATTTAGCGCTCAGTTTTAGCTTGGTATTTGTCTTAGTTGTACTGTTAGCTGCATAACGTTTCCCGTATTTCTTCGGTGGAGTAAAATAAAGGAAAAGTCAACACTTTTACTTTGATTTTTTATGAAGTCAATTTTTAACTAGTAAAACACACAATCTATGTCATACTAAATAAAATGTATACGAACATTGAAAAGTTGTCTTTCTCTTTACCAGATCTTTTAATTCAGTTCAGATTTCATGTAATATTGATGTGATCAGTACAAAATGTTAATACTGTAACATTTTCCCTGTTGTAACTTCACAACCTAAAAAAATAACGAGTGCAGAGAAATGTAGTATGTCTTCGTTTTGTAGAGCCTCTTACAAATGTTTTTTGAAAGTCAGTAATTTAGTTAAAGGAATTAAGGACCACTTTTATATGTTAAAACGTTTTACGTATTCTGATGAGTTTATGAAAGTATCCTGATACTTTTTGATAAATCATAAGCTTAACCATTAAATATTTTTAGTTATTTAGTATTGAGCTATTTGATGTAATTCATCAATATCCCATCTCTCATTGTTTATAATGTATGTATAGTCTTAGGGAAGATCTCGTCTATACCTTGACGAAAACTAAACCTCTCATAAAAACTGAATGTCAGTAAGTTTGTTATCAGTAGTTATTAGTTGATAAATGAACTTCAACGAAAGTATCTTCATTTTGTCAACACTATCCTACCAAAAAGTCATTATTGTTGGATTCAACACAATTTTCATACACTTCCATAACATAGACTAAACTAGTATATTCTCACACCATTTCTTTTGAACCATCTTTGTTTAATTTAGCTGAAATTAAAGTTTGCGTCTTCTCTTACCCAGCAACAACAATAACAGTAACAAATCTGTGTAAACAACCATTCAGAATTTCTTGTTACGACATGATTCAATCTGTAAATATGGAATATTGATGTGCATATTTATCTTTTGCACTTATAAATCACAGAAATATCACAGATTTCGCATATTAGTGATATTACTATTATCAAGGAATATTAGGATTTGTGATCATTATTATGAATATTGAAACCACTTTTCTGAATAACAACTATGCAACTGTAAATTATGGAGTTAAATGAAAACAGACTTCGAAGAAATAATTATTAACTCTTTAACATTTACGCAGACTAAAATAATGAGATTTAGTTGTAATTATCCGCTCATCTTAAAATTGATAAATATAATTCATATTAAAAAAATAATATACTGAGGGTCGTCATTGTGTACCTAAATTATCGTAGCTAGGATTTATCGACAGTGTTAACAATGAAATAACTATGACCTGTTTTGCTATTCTTCTAATCCAGAACAATATCTCAAATGACAGTTGATTATTGGTGAAATTGATGATTATATATCCTTCTGCATATTTGTGGTTTAATTGCTAGTCAGTTCTGGTAAATGGATTACATTTATTGAAATTAAACTAAATGATATACTTTGCTTTGAAGCTCATAAGGATCTCAAATAGACAAATTACAATATTTTTTTAGGTGATTTGGACAGTCAGCAGTTAATCTTTGGTCTAGGTTTCGTGATAAATGGAACTCGTCAGCAAGGTGTAGCTGGAACCTCAAGGGAACTGATTCTTTACATCAATCAGAGATGTGGTATTGATTACTTCTCTGTGATTACTTAATCTACATTAATATTTGCTAAAATGGCATGTTATATCTAAATAACTGGGGACATTAACTTAGGTGAATTTACTACTTTACCTTTGGATAGTGTATATTATTATTTAGACAGTACGTAATTCGAACTTTAGCATCTTAAATGAGTTATATCAAAGAATAAGTTGGAGGACTAACTCATTATTGTTGAGGAGAGTAATTAAAAGAATATCAAAAACTTTAGCTATTTAAAATCCTAATTAATTCCGTTCTAATTTGTTCGCGAATTTAAAACAGCGATATGGAATTGTGCTTACCAGATTTATAGTGTTTTAGAGACTACTATTGAAATGAGAATAAAATTAGTTCCAATCCTGTCATATTTACATCTTTCTATCTAATTCACTTTCTCAGGGACTAAAATCAATCTTATCAGCCACATCAGTCTTTATCGCTCTTGAATTCCTTTATTATGCTTGCACACCAAGCAGAAGTTACAACGAATTTCCGTAAATAACCGAGGATTAGAATAATGAAATTAGTTTACCATAATTACAGGACAGAGTTGAATGGAGAATACTGGTGGGCGGCCTATGCTCCTCCATAAGGGGTAACAGGCGTAAGTAAGTACATGTACTAGGTGGAAGTCAATGTGTGAATTGAAGTAGTACCTCGATAATAACAGTCTCCCCTAATTATAAAAATGATATTATAAAAGCGGTAAGTTATTATTAACTGCTTCTGAATAAACCTTGGTTTCGAGATGAGCTTAATACGCTTCTCGTTGTTCGAAAAAAACTTTGGTTTTATATTTATGTCAATTATCCTGATTCCTTCAAAGTCATTCATTAATTGATAAAGAGTAGTGCTTATTTCAAGTATTCACAAATGCTTCTTATGAGTTAAGTCACTTCAAGTTGTACAGTATTTCAGCTACATCAGTTATTTCGCATTTTCATCAATAAAAAAAATTCTGGTGACAGACGATAGCATCCAGTTAATTTTTTCTATATTTAAGTCCAGGAAAAGCTTTTAAATTATTCATATTTGATATGTTCAACCAAATGGTCGAATACGAGTGTTAGTAGACACATTCAAACATGAACCTACAAGGCGATTAGACTAATATTTGTTACTGGACGAGACAATGCTAACTGTATTGGCTCTGAAAGAGCTAAATATATATAAATCATATCTTTTTAGAATGAAAAAACTTTCCTCAATAAAGTTAAGTACAAAGATGGAGAAACGTTTTAATCGCTGTCATTAAGCTAAATCGGAAATCAATAATCTCTATTCTTAACCGATTAGATTCATGCTGCTGCATGGTTTGAATAACCGTATTGGAAGTCTAATTCTATTTTTGAAAAGAACGGTGTTAGTTGATTAACCACTGATTCGAAATATGTATGAAAAACTATAATACTTAATGTGTTTGTAAAGATATATTCAAAGTCTGTTTCCATTAGTTCCTATCTTATACAGAGTATCGATGGGAAAAGAGAATCATCGAGCAATCTTTCGTCCCAGTTTATGATCAATGAAGAAACGCATCAACAATACAAATGGTATTAATCCTGTAAATCTCAGTTCTTCTGACACCATTTAGTCACTTCACGAT